AGTTTCTACCACTGTCCTTGTTGAAATACAATCTCTTCTCGCAGACTGAACTTCACCACTACTTCTTACTTCACTTCACTTCGCTTCATTCGTTGGGTGGAAACTCATCCCCCGAAACCGGAACATAGGCTTCAAAAGAAGAAACAGGAGCTCTGTCTGTCTTCTTTTATGACAATGGACTAAGGAGGACGAAGGATACGGTTGACAGAAGGGCGACGCGAAAGGCTCGTTGAGACCTGCTGTACGCACCTTGGCTTGGGACCGAGCGAGCGCTCTTCGGCTTTGCTTTCCTGTGGCAAAGCTTCTCCGATTGAGGCGTTGACTATGGTAAGTAATTTACTCAAACCGATTCGGGTGGGAAAACTCTTTCTTTTATCAGGATTAAAGGTTCGATGCATAGGAACGAAGCGAAGTTCAGTCAAAGAAGCTGCCATGCAATCTCAATATCTCTGCTTAGTTTTAATGCATAATAGAGAGGTCAGGTCACAAGGAGAGCACTTAGTCCTATCTCGCAAAAGCAATGGAAGGCCTTTGGAGCTAGTTTAGTTCTTTCATAGCCCCTGTCCCTCGTCAAATTGAATTGGAATTGTGCTACTTTCCCTTTTCTCGGGAGTTGTGCTTCGTGGAATTCAGGCCTCAAATCATCACTTTCTCACCGACCTTTACCCATGCTAAATGTGTCCCAGTTTATAGGTCAATTACATCGAGCCTAGCGCTTAGTCATATCAGGTGTTTGACCCAACGAACGAAACTCCTTGCTTCATTTCTTTTTATGAGCCACCAGCAGCAGCCTATGCTCAGGTCCTCCTGAACAGTGGAAGGCTGGTCCGCCATCACGCTCTCCTATATCTTCTTCTAACGCTCCATTTCCATCATCTGCATCCTCTGTTTTAAAGACCTCATGGGAGAGGGATGAAAAGGAAAGTCCCGAAATTAGGATGACTTTTTTTTTACTTAGTTTGATAGGTTGCAATTTGTCTAAATATGTTGGGGATATTTTTCTAAGCACAGGTCTAAACCTTTCTCTGGTGCCATGATATTGGGGTGCTCGATCGGGTCATAAAGGTGAGGGCCGAAGTGTATCCATGGCCCAATCATGGGCTGGTCTCAATAAACACTATTTTCGAGAGTCTCGATGGGTGGCCTATGCAGGTGAACAGTACGAAGGATGGATTTGTGTGACACTTTGGTCTGACGATTTGCGAAGAGAGAGACCAATCCCCGCTGAAACCAATAAGGGATGGATATGATATGCCCGTTCCTTTATCGTTCGAGATTTGGTTAGGATTCCCAGAGGGTTTCGGAAGATGCAAAAGCCAGTTTTCCCCTCTGCCAAACTGTCGCTCCTCAATGTAATCGACCCTGAGCCGCTAGAAGGCCCTCTAATACAATACGGTCACATCAAAAAAATCTTTCCCGGTAAGCCTATTCACGTGATTCTCTTCTTGCCTGGGGATTCTCCTCCGCTGGTTGGTTGCTGGTACAAGTCAAAATTCAGTCCCGCAATAAGCTAGTGCGCAGGAAAGAGGCGATGATGCGCATCTTGAAGGTGGCTCTGAGTGAGGAAATAGTAGCGTGCAGGAAGAAAGCCAGATATAGTAAGAGGCGTCTCGTTCATATCTGCACTCCACCCATATTTATTTTTCGGCATATCAACCGTATTATGCTTTCTTAGGATAGGTCAATTACATCTTTAGAAGCTTCTATGACTGAACTTCGGCATCCGTTTTCTTACTAAGTGTGATAACTAGAAAGAATGGTTTGAGTAACTATTCGATAATCTCTTTTGATCACCTGGCAGCTAAGGGCAGATTTCACTAACGATAAAACCGACGGGATCTTGCAACAATTTCACGTAGCGAAAAGGTTGTTGAACGCGCCCTCTAGGGCCTAATGATATTGAGTCTTTTGAAGCCGACATAGATGAGGGGATCTTTTTTTCTAAGGTTGGTCCTGGCCGACCCAACAAACTTTTCGAAGCGCAGTGAAGTCATAAGTATTGGCTAAGCGAAGTTCAGTCCTGGAAGAAAGTAAGTGAATAAGAGATGTCCCCTAACTGAGTATCCTTGACAGGTAGACTATAAATAGATTCAGTACAGCAAGCCTAACACTAATATTTCTTAATATAATGGGGACCCATTAATAAGGGAAAGATAATAGAGAGCCATCTGTCATCTCCCCCTTTTTAAGCAAGTTTTTAGTGGCGAAGAGAAGACAAACTTCCTCGCTAAAGAACTTACTTTATGCCTGCCAAATTCCAGCTGAACTTCTTTGTCTATTTATCTTTCGCCCCAACTAGAGAGCATTCCTCTCCTCGGATTTATAGACGCGGTCAACTTTGTCGATCCAACGAATGAAGCGAAGCGAAACGAAGTCAAATCTGCGCTTCGCTTTGTTTATTTAGTCTTAAAAAGACTCCTCTTTTGTGCTCCCGCTTTCTTCCTAGCCTTATGGACAGGTCAATTACATGGAACCTAGTTCTGAAACTCTTCCCGCAGCTTCCCTTACCGCCGAGAACTTTCTTTCCAGTTTTCCAAGGTCAGGCCTACTGATAACTGAGTCTATATTGACTGACGCCAGCCCAACCCATAGCCCGCAGAGCATTGAATGAATTTGAATAGGAGAACAAAGTGAGTCTCGACTAAAAGGAGAGAAGAGGAAAGCCCTCTGTCTTGAGCGGCTTCTTCCTCCATCGATGCGACAACTTCCTCAGCTTCACGTTCTTCCATCTCTCCGTACCTCCTCCGCCGTAGCAGAAAATTCTCCCTGCCCTTTTCGAAAGGGATTTATGACTGAAAACGCTAGTTTGGACAAGAACGCCATCAGGATTAACGGAGCCAGAAGAGCACCAAGTGTTGGTTGGGATCATGAGAGGTCTTTATTTCATATAGTCTAATGTACACCCGAGGTCCTAATCTTTTGATTGGAAAGGTTTAGAGCAGCGAAACTTTCTGAATATTCATTCCTGGGCTCCGAGGTACACAAAAGACTTTGTTTGCCTCTCAAACAAAGGTTGATTTTAAATCCCTTTCTTGGTGGTTACCGAGATCCTTTCTTCAAGAGCGATCGCCAACCTTTCCTCTCCCTTTAGTCGAGATCTTTAAACCTTCACTTCGCTTCGAAAATTTTTTATGGTCATCAATTGAATCGAGCCTCTATCATTAGCTCGGGTAGTCGGAAGTGATGGCCAAAAAGTCTCACTTTTCCCCCCTTCAACTATTCCCTAAAGATGGGGGAAGGGACCAATTGAGAACGAGTGGGTCAATAAAGGCGTCACAGCTGGCTCAATGAATAGAGTCTGAACATCTGTGATAGATCATTCACCCGGCAAAAAGAAAGTTCAGTCCTTCGGGTGACGTCTAACCGAGCTTCTTCCCCGGGCGGGTCTAATCACAATCAGAGAGTCCAATCTCTGAAATAAGGTTTGATGTAATTGACCTGTGTTATTGTAGGGAAGCCAACGAACAAAGCAAAGCGTAGTGAAGTCATAAAGGCCACTCTCTGAGGTCGAGACTTCCGTTGAAAAGTCTATTCGCGGAAGAAGCAGACATNCTGATGGGGCTCATAATAGTACAACGGGGATGAGCTGTGCGCAGTGGCCGAATCTTTCGCCTATCTATCTTCTCCTTCTCCATGTGATTATTGTTCAGCCTACCCTCACGCTCTCTTTCTCTAAAGCTAACTTGAAAAGTCGAAAAACGTTCATTAGAACCTACTAGAATCTATTACCATCGGATAATCAACAGCAATATAGTCCGCAGTTGATTGAACTTGGTTGCGCTTCCTTTGTTTGGTCGAACTCTAGCGAACTGGGTAGCTAATGAATGGTACCCACCGGGTGGTGCCCTGGCAAGGATCGATGTAATTGAGAAAAGGTCGAAGCAAGAATTTTCGAGCAATTGGAAGCCGCTTTCGATGATGAATTATGGATGGAGGCATCGCCTAGTAGCGTATATATACTCGCGAACCTTTTTCCTTTATCGTTTGGTTCTTTTTCAGGAACAGAACTTCATCCGCTCAGCTCTGGTGCTATGTCCTGTCTACCCACAATCGAGCCTTCCTTGAAAGAATTGCAAACAAAGAGTCAATTTCTTATTAGGTGGTAGCAAAGAGGCAAAGCAAAGGGTCGACGTAATTGAGAAGAGGTGATCGTAACAGATTAATGATGAAGCCAAGGAAATCGACCAGTCATGGAGATTGAAACCTAGATAGAAAGAAGACTTGAATTGACAAGTCGTTAAACTGAAGTTCTTTCCTTTTTGTCTCCCTCAGCGAGGGTTTGTGTGGTCTTCACTCCAAAGCGAACCCAGGGCTGGCGCAGAGTCCAGCTTCTGACTATCGTACACGGCCCCCTTTATCTGGATCTAGCTATTTTGTGTACCCATGTGAAAAGATTCCATCTTTCTTCTTTTTTTTCTTAATTCATGGCTGGACCCCGTGCTTACCTATATAGTATGTGAGTCAGTCCCCCCACCGCCAGGTTGTCCGGTTTATCGGTCTCGACTGGTACTCGAAGAACTGTTGCACACGAGTGAACCATTCTGTGGGATCTTCTCCTGAGTACTTGGGAAACTCTAGCTTGGCCAACTTAGAGGAGAATATTGGTCGTGCGCCTTCATTCCCTTCCTCTTTGGCATGATCTGGACACGGAGATGAATAAACTGCTTATGACATTGCAGGATGGTCACCTCGGCTCTCTCTCTCCACAAAATGCAAATCCCTCCTGAGAAACCAAAAGCCTCCACGCGAAATGACCAATGAAAATCGAAACGGCGGATAAACTCATCTGCATTAACCCCACTAATTTTAGGTTCAAACACCGCCACAACTGTCGGTTGGTGTTGTTGAGTTATTGTAGAGAAGGCTCTCCGAAAGCTGCCAGAGCCCGCCCCTTGCATATTCCAAGCTAGGAAATTCATTGGGAAACCAATAAAGGGAGAGGAACCAAGGGCTTAGAGCAAGCGTGAGCCACCGGCGGCAGCACCTTTCTCAGTCGCCGATGATAGTATGAAGTTTTTCTATCCCCCAAGTGCATCCAATCCCTACTGTCACCTGTAATAATAAGAAAAGAAAAGACAATAGCTCGTCATATGGCTACCTACCACGGCTCGTAAACCAGAAACTCAATCTGGAACTTTAAGAGATTAGACCGCGGCTGAAGGATCAGGCCGTCTCTACTGATATTGGCAATGCAGTCTCCCATGGGATCTGCTGTTACCGTGATGGCCTAGCTCCCCATCATCGACCAAAGATGCAAGTAGCGCTTTATCCGACTGGCAGGGTGCCATACATATATCTGACCTTCCCCGACCTTAGCATTGAGAAAGAATTTCTCAAGGATATCCGTCTCACAGACGTCTGGGCTGGGGAACGAAGTGACTTACAGGATAAAATTCAGCTCATCTTGCATACAAATTCTAGGGGCCTAGCAGAGTGAAGTCCTGTTTTTACTATTGCTATTGTGTTATGAATAGGAGTTCTCGCGGATGGAGATTGAGCTACTGCTATGGTACTAGCGTTCAGGTCAATTACATCGAGCCTTTCCCAAAGCGGTATCGGACCAAGTAGTTTGCCCCTTTTCTGACCTTGGGACCAGCTCTTTCTATTGATTACTACTCAAGTCACTTAGTGTAGTGGAACTCAAATACCCGAGTGAAGGAAATTCAATAGTAATAGTGGGGCAATTCACTGATACTCCTGGGGTTAGGGGAAGGCCAGAGAATGACGACCAAAAGGACTACTTCTCGTGATGAGCTATTTGAAGGAATCTTTCTAGATATAGCTTCTGAAGCTTCTACTAATATATTTCCCTTTTGAGTTTTAACAAGTGGAACTAGCGATAGTCGTAACTCTACCAGGCTCTTGTGCTCTCTTGGCTCGTTGTTTTGGGAAAGCTCTTTTCTTTCTTGCTTTTTTGTTGTCTTGAATTGTTATAGAATGACTTTCTGATAGGATGATCCTCCCTTTTCAAAGGGAAAAGGCAAAAACCCATGAGAAAAGAGATTTGACTGCTAAATTATCTGCTCCTCGTTTTCCACTACAATGATCACTTCGATTTGTCCAACTTCGGCTCTCGCGCAACCAGAAATGAGCTAGTTGAATCTGGCAGGGCAGGGCCGGTGTGGCTAATGGGACTAGCTACCTTGCTTGTTCAGAATCACAAGAAAGAGAATCAACTGTGCCTTTCAACCTTGACTCATAAGCTATGGCATGCAGGTAGAACCATACCTAGACCTAACGACCTAGATATTTCATAAAGAGCTATTTCTATTGAGTTACCAAGCCTACCGAGATCTATTTCAGTATTCAAAACGAAAGACTACCGGGGCTCACCTTCTCCTTCTATAAGCTCTTCGGGACATCAGGCGAGAAACTGCGGGAAGACCTATTTAATCTTTGTGGCCCGGTTCCGGTGTTGGTGCTCTTGTTAAGTGTGCAAACCCAATCGAGCAGAAATCACAATGGATGGACACTCCATCCTTACTAGCTCTCTCATCTTCCTCAGGAAAGCTTTTTTCGGCGATGGCTTTGTGGATTCAGTCACAGAATTGACACTACTTCTAGGAAGGAAGCAGAATTATGGGGTGTTTATGATGGTCTATTGATTAGTTGAACCCAGAGGTTTTGGAGTTGACAGCAACTTTTCTTCCTCAAAGCCAGCCTCAAAACACAAAGTGGACGGAACAAACTTTTCGAAGTGAAGTTCAGTCATAAGTAGTCATAGAGTTTGGGAGAGGAAAGATTCAATTGACGACTATAAAGGTGTTCCCTATGGTCGAGTCAATTGCATCGAACCTAATTCGTCACCTCGGGTTCTTTTACATTTCCTCTTTCGAGAGTGTTACATCTTCCTACCATGCATCAAAATTGGCTCTCAGTTGCTAAATTTACGAAAGCTCTCTTATGAGAAAAAGATGTCACCTTTCTTTCTTTCTTTGGACGCACCCTTTCTCAGATCAAGACCTTGACTCACTCAGTTGATGGACCAGCGGCTCACCGAACCACATGAACGCATTGCATTTCCCATCACCCAGCACATTGATTGGGACACACCCACTAAAATGGCTTTTGAACGAGACCTACCGGGCAGTTACTACTAAAAGAAAATGGGTGTACCCAGAACGGGGTTCCGATCTCTAAATGGATCTGCTATAGCTACTCGATCTCGCCATTTACCTTCCTCTTTCAATCGTAAGACTCGATGCAGATAGCTCGCTCTGGTGGCCCCCGCTTCTGCCTCTATCAGGCGGCGACAGAACCCACCTCCACAGCCATAGTCTAGAGGATTAGGTCAATTGCATCGTACTTTTGTCTCCTTCTTGATTAGTTTTATTGACATAAAGATGCTTTCTCACTGACGCTAGGGATAAGAACAAACTTTCCATTTCTGTCAATCGATAATAACTTCTTTTTCTCTGTTCCCTGGAGGTCGTTCCACTCTTAAATAAGCCGCTTGCTGTCTTTCCGCGTTCGTTCTGGAGTCGAAAGAGGTCAATTACATCGATCATCGCTTTCACTTCAGGCTTAGAGCGACATTGGGAGCTCAGCATAAAGCCTAGCCGAGTCCCACCCACCATCCATTATATATTGCACAATTGTGTCTTCCGCTCTTACATAGCTAGGTACTGAATCAAGCTGATCCTTCAACGCAAGATTTAGGGCTCGTAACCGATCCGCATGAGAGATGTCATGGATCATCTCCTGGGCCAAAAGAATGTTATCACTAATGACTCGATCCTTGATGAAACCACTCTGGTTCAGAGAGATGAGAGAGGGAAGGTTTTCCCTTTCGCGTAGAAGTACTTTTTTAACTAGTTAGCTCTCCCTTACAGTACTACTTAGTAATCACTTTTGCGTAATCTTTCTTTACTTACAGAATTGTTGTTGTCTGCTTTAAGTTCTTCCGGACGAAATCTCTGGGAGTTTCATGTGAATGACTGATGACTGATCCGATTGATTCTTAATTTAATATAGGTTGGATCGCGGGAACGCCCTTTACCTTTAGGTCAGAATGCCGCTATCATCTATCATGTGCGGATAAGCCTGTAGATTAGCTGACTGAGGCCATCCCCGCCCAACTTTGAATATCACCATATCCTGGTCAAGGCTCCTAAGCTGGCCGTATTACTTAAGCAATTTAGAAAATAGACTTTTCCACGTCAACAAAGTCCAGCACTACATTACTTCATCGATTGAAACTCTCTAAAGGAATAAGCGCTCACCTGTATCAGTGTTGGGGGTAGAAACTGAAAGATTATAAAAGGGATTAGACGCAGAAGCTGAAGCAGGTCATCTACTGACCATGTTTGTAGACGGTGTAGCTAAGCCTTCTGTGGTTGGTACCAGGCCCACATCTTGGTCTTGGGCGAATAAAGAGCTTCTTTTCCAAATCCTTTCTTAGCGATTCAACACTAACCACACAATAAAGGAACATTTCGGAATCCTCGTTCTCCTCGAGTAGTTTCCTTCAACGCCAGGAAACCATTACATTAGGCTACTACCTTTCATGGGCCTTGTTTTCGCTTTCCCACCATGTTATGGTGTGGATGGCGGCTGACTTAGCACAGTCTTGGTTGCTTTCAAAAGATAGATTTCCTCCCTGTTGATAGGGCAGCTCAGAAGCTCATAGGTCAAGTCGCCCTTTAGCTCGTGTTAGAGCCTTTCTAAATCTATCTTTGTTAATCTCCCATCCAATTGAGTTGCCCGGGACAGGCTTTTCGGGGGAAGAGAGTCAGAAGACAGCAAGATATTTAGAGCTAGTGGTGGACGAGTGGATTGACTATCTTAGTCCCTTCTTCAGGCAAGAACCTAAGATAAGATTCTTCGTGTATGGTGAGCTCTGGCTCAAGGGGAGAGTAGAATAGACAAAGGCTGACGAAGGAAGTATGCCGCTCAATGTCAGATAGACTTCTTTCAGTAAAGCGCGTATCTAATATTCGAAAGAAGCATCACTCATTCTGAAACTCCACGATAAAAGACAAAAAGTAGCGTCGATAGACGATTAGCTTTGACTCCGATATCCCAAACCAGGAGAGCAAAGTTAGACTCAACAAACGAAGTGAAGCGAAGTGAAGGTTTGAAGATACTCGACCATACAAACGAAGCGAAGCGTAGTGAAGTCAAAGAGTTCCTTCGGAAAGGTGTAATTGAGGCTAGCTTTCTTTAGTAGATACGGGGATGGCTTCCTTGTTGGAGTACGTAGTGGTTCGGCTTCGTTCGTTCCCTCGTACTTTCTATGACTTCACTTCGCTTTGCTTCGTTTGTTGGGTCAATGTAATTGAGTTTAAGGTTAGTTTGATCTGCTTAAACTCAAGCTAATCGACATGGTAGTTCGACGAAGTATCTAATTTCAAAAAGGAGGAGAGCAAAGTGAGACTCAATTATATCGAAGCGGTAGAACGAAGCGAAGCGCAGTAAAGTCAAAAATATGGGTCGAGTGAAGGTGTAATTGACCTCAGAGTGTCAAGCCTTGGTTTACATACGAAATTTCTCGATCCAAATAAGGACGCGAGGGAACACTAGCGCGATCAGTCACCGCATCTCTTTCGAAGTCAGAAGTCTTTTAGTTTTGACTAAACCATCTGGAGACACTGACACCTTATCAACCCCGTGCGACAGGCCTGTTGAAGGTGAGGAGGGTACTGTCGGGAAGAAGGCATCAAGATTTTCTTCCAATGGTAAAGCAAGCATGGGACTCGCAATCATTTGGGCGAGGGATGCGTGGGCTTGCTTTGAAATTGAAAATGTTGCACAGAATATTCTAACTCAAAGAAAAATTCTAGTCGTTGTGTGTGTCTGACCCTTCGGCCAAGCTGTCTAGATTGATGTCTCATAGCCTGATTCAATCACAGCTGATACGCATTCAATTGCAAATAGAACACTGCTTATTTTGCGGAGTTGCTTGCTCTTCTAGCCTAAGTAAGATCAACTTTGGGGAAGATGAATTGAGACTTGAAATTGCTTATTCATAGAAGGGTTTTCCTGAGGCTTTCAAGCGGGAAGATTGACCGACAAGCGTCTGCCTTTGCCTAAAGCCTTGGCTGAAACAACTCTTCTTTTCTTTGAGCGGGACTGCTGCTAGCAAGAAGGTTTTTCCCTAGCTTGAAGGTGGCGAGAGGAGAGCGAAATGATTCTCGATGTTCCCAGGATTCCTCTCCTTTTAGTCGACTGAGCCTCAATTACATGGATCCTCATCCCGAAGCAACCGGACCAATTTCAATCGCAAGGAAGATTCGGCCAACACCAACGCCTCCATGTGCTGAGCCTGAAGATCCATCTGAATCTGAGAAAGTTGTTCCCGAGTAGCGCGCAGATGGACCTCTCTATTCTGACTTTCTGCCTCTATCAGACCGGAGATCTGATCGGTCGCTCCCCGCGATGCTCGATGTAATTGACCTCTACTGTAGACCTAAAAGACAAAGATTCATCAATTTCAATTTGGTACAAATGAGCTCCAAAAAGAGACCGCTTCCCTTACTAGTCTCGTTTCAAATCCTGGTAAGCAAAACAGGAGTTTTTAGGTGCTGACGTATGATTGGCATCTCTTCCATCAGGGGAAGATCCCAACCCGAGGTAACGAAGAAGCCAACTCCATGATTTTCAATCTTCAGGCTAGAAGTAGCTATTTCCCCTGCTGAGAACAACTAAAGTCCAGTGTGTTGGAAATGCAGCATAGATGACAGGACTTTGAAATGGTCAACTCAATTACATGGATCCTCGCATTCATTGGCCACCGGTGCCATGCTCAAAAGAGAGTTCGAAGCATAGCCCAAGTTAGTGAAGTTGGAATTCAATGTTGGTAGTTCCGCCGAGGGTTACATCACTGGGGAAGAATTATTCTAGATCGAATGTACTTTCCCTTTGCTTTGCTAAAACATACCCGTTTCGCTGTTCCATTGATGCCGTGCCTTGTAGAAGCCGTCATCTTTTTCTTTGCTTCGGAAAAGTCACAATGGTCTGAGGCAGGAGTAGCAGCTCGACCAAAGAAACTTTAAGTTACGAGAATGGCACTGGAAAAGAAAGACATGTATCCATTAGTTGTCCCTCAGGGACAAAAACACATTCACCAGATGACCTATCAAAGGAAGACAGGGAATCTCTTATATAGACAGGCTCCCCAGGGCTATCGAAAGAAACTCCAACTGGATCGAAGAGATAACCAAGGGAAGATGAACTGGCTTCTAAGGGCCAAAAGAAGGACTCTGCTTCTTACAAATCCAACGGGCCCCTTTCCCTCGAATCGGACTTTGAAAGAAGGGAATCCCGTCGAGTTCCTACGTTTCTATATGCTACTTGGTATCTCTGGTATTGGAGGAATTGCATGCTCCATGATGCTGACTTTCATCATTTAATATGCCCTCTATATAACCGCAAGAACGCCTTCTTATAGAGGACCCAACGAACGAAGCGAAGCAAAGTTTAGTCATAGAAGAAAGCAAAAGGAAATTTTTGAATTTCAAGAATCGGAGGTCCTAGAACCGGAGGAGAGAGTGCTAACAACCTCTTCAGTTGATCTCAAAGAGCCAACCACGGTGGAAAAAGCCAGTCCCATAATCCGGTAACAGTCGGATGATCCACAAGAAAGGCGGGGCTGAAGAGATGAGACCATAGTACGATGGGAGAAAGGGTGATGCTCAAGCAATGGAGAAAGTGCATAGCTTTCACCTTTAGAATAATTCAAAGAAAAGAAAGAAAGTCAAGTTTAAAAAAGAACAAGAAATAATTTTGAAATAAAGAGAAGAACAATCATCTCATGCGCCCGAAACCAATAACACTTTTAATAGTTACAGCGAGTTCTTTCAAGATCTAGGTGGATCTGGGAGTGGTTTGGGAGATTATTAAATTACAAATTTTATTAGAATGTCATGTGTGTTCTAATTTCTTAAGTCATCTGAATTTAAGTCATGTTGTACTTTGAATTATGTATTTAGATGTTGTTGTGTATTGTAATTTTAAATTTTAATGGAATCTTTTTTTTTTACGGTTATTTTTAATTCATATTTTTATACTACAATAAAAAATATTAACAAAAGTAAAATTAATAAAAAAAACTGTAACTAATTATTAATCTATTTAACATAATATTTGTTATAGAGTAGAGATACACTGTTCATATATTTGTTATAGAGTAGAGATAAACTGTAACCAAATGTGGAGATACACTGTTCATATATTTGTTATAGAGTAGAGATATAGTGCAGCACTGGGGCACTTATTTTGCTCCACCTAGCGTAATTCAATGAAATAGCATAGCATTAGGCTCGCTCTGAAACTTGAAAAGACAAAAAGAATTTCAAATCGTACTTGAAAAAAGAAAAAAA